AAAATTCTTTTCATCTTTTATGTAACATAAAATATTTTTACTATTCTTATAATTAAACAATGAAATAATTCTATCTAAATTTCTATGTAGTTCATATTTTCTTTATACAAAACCAAAATACAATTTTATAGTTAATATTAGAAAACAATCAACTTGCTAAAACACAAATTAAACATAAAATCAAGAGATATCAAGTAAAAAAAAAAATTAAAGATTAACAACATTTTAGTTTACCATTTTAATTATTAAATGTAAATTTTATTTTGTTTATTTACTCAAAAATACAAAATATTCACAAAAGATTTGAAATAATAATAAAAAAAAAAAAGAAAACTCACTTATGGAGTAGATTGGAAATCAATATGATTGTAGATGCCCAGATTCGGTGATAAAGGCTTTAGATCTAAAGAAATAGATGGTTAGAATGTTGAAAAAAAAAATTCAATCATCAAGATCACCGACCTCTGACTAGTCGAAAAATGCAACTTACCTCTGTGGCTATCCGAAGGTTGGAGTAGGAGATGTCATGTAGTGCAAAGGATAAAAATGAGAGAAAAAAAAAAGGAAAAGCGTAAAGGAAATCTGAAAGGGGGGACGAGCAGAGCGAGGAAAAAGAAAGGGCTGCATACAACAGTGAATACTTATCTGGATCGATATTGGTCTGTATAAAATTGATCAATGGGCCCCAATGTTAAATTGGAGCAGAGATTCGCTGGGGTCATTTTACGGACCAATATCGATCCGAAAATGTTTGAAATATTCGGACCGAAATCAGTTCGAATACTCAAAACATGTCACAACTTATTTTAATCCACTGAAGAATATATACGGATCAACTTCAGTCCATATAACTTATTTATATAATATTTTATTCCTAACTTTTTTTATTTAATAATTATTTTTTTAAGAAAAAATATTCAGACCATCTTCGGTCTGTATAATATTGGTGCGCTTTAATTGGTTTTTGGCACCAACAATATACGAACTGTAGTCGGTTCGAATATATTGATTAATGGATTTCGTACCACCTCAATAAATTTGGACCATTTTTTTGTCCAAATATAAATTTATACGGACCGACTATAATCGGTCCGTATATGTTCGGTATGAATTACTAATTTTTCTAGTAGTGTATAAATCATGCATTCTTAGGCATTAATTGCTTAAATGAGAAATAACAAACACGTAAGTAAAAATGCAAACTTATTTCTACAAAGGATAAACTAATGATGGACTTTTTTGGAAAAAAAATTGAACAGCAATTTTGTTATATATATATATTTTTATGGTAGTAGTTTTGTTATATTTAAAAACAGTTAATCAAGATTCTAGTCTTAACTTAAGGCGAATGTAACAAAGTTATTATTGCAAGGAATCAATGACAAATTCTATGTACCACAATTATAAAAGGGTAGAACATAAGACTGACTACTTTAATTGCAATTTATCATGAGTTTTTTTTTTTAAATGCAAAAGAAATTAATTGATTTTTACAAGGGATACTCTAAACCCATTACAATGAGACAGGATTAATCCAACAGATAAACCCACCAAAAATAACAATTTAAGTACCATTTTGGTCCCTCAACTTTCCACTTTGGCACCAAAATTATCCTTAAACTTTCATTTTCGATATCAAAACAATCCTTCCATCAATTAAATGACAGATGGCACGTTAAAATGCCACAAAATTACTTGATTTTTTTAATTTTAATGACGTGTAAATCCAGCAAAGAAAATTTAACATTTTTTTTTATT